AAAAAATCAGGGAGCAAGACAGTACCGAGGACTGAGTTATATGGACATTTTTTTAAAGGCAGTAAGGAAGATATGTTTTTCCAAATGTTTACACATTCATAAAAAACTCTCTTCCTTAGTGGCTTACAAAGTGTATGTAAAATATAACATGAGAAATCAGTCTAATTGCATATTTAAACTCTGTTTTCTTCAGTCTTTAAAACTGAATTCTGGAATTCCTTCTTTGAAAACTGCATTGAGTTCCTAGTTCAAGGCATTCAAAAAAAAATACCTTTGATCTTAGAAGATGTCTGATTCATGAGAATTACTTGCAAGATGAAATAGCCATAGATTGGTTATTGGTATTGATCTGTGGAGGTACTTGCAAAAGGATTTTCCTAATTAATTGTGTTTGGGATTTCAGTATGTTTTCCTAATACTTATCACTGGCAGAAGCCATGTCAGGATTCTATATTTGAGGAGGGAACATTGTCTAAAACTCCTTTTTTCATTTCCTCTCACAGAGCTAGTTCCTTACCTACTCCAAGAGGACTTAGGTTGAGTTACAGCTATTTATTGTATTTCTTGTCTAATGATGCTCCCTGGTTAAACAAAGGAGATGTTCAAAAAAGTGTTTCTCATTTTAATTCATCATCCTGCCTTGAAAATTCCAAATGGTTTTATTTTCTATTACATAACACTTTAATTATTTATATGTATATTGGATTAGATTTTCCTGCTAATAGTTCTGTTGTACATTTGAAATTAATGGAGATCCTCTAATTTTTTAATATTTTACTAGTTTATCTGAGCACAGGATTTGGCCTAACTGGTAGACAGAGAAGTAACACATAGGGGACAAGGGTTATTTTTTGCCAGATAAAAGCTGAGGTATAGAATCAAAATTAGTAAAATTCTGGGCAATATATTACGTAGTATCATATAATCTTTACAGTTTCTGGTATTACTTATAATCTTTCATCAACAAAACTTATTTGGTCACGTGGGCATTTCACAAGTATAAAAGGACATTGCACCCCCTCAAATAAGCCCTTGTGAAATATTTACAGGTTTTTTAATTCCTGGTCTGAGTATGACTGATGTGTTCATATAAACACTGCAAAGGCCACTGTCTAGAGGTCTGGTGAATTACTTACGTCAGTAAATGCTGAGTCTAACTCTGTATGATGATTCTTGTCCTGTATGCATTTTGCATCCCCAAAAGAAGCTTTCTTACTAAGTTTTTATAAATTATCCATGCTTATTTTGTATATGAATCAGAGGTAATTAGCATACATTTATTTTGAAAAAAGTACTCTCTCTTCAACCCCCAAGGCCATCCACATTTGTGAGCCAATCCAATGCCAATTAGGCATCCAAGGCCTAATTGCATATATCAGGAAAATTATCGGTATGGGGATCTGCGCTGCTGCTGTGTGAGTGGTGCGTAACCTGCGTCTAGAATGCAAAAGGTGAAGAATAAGAGTTTATGAAGGGTGTGATGTCTTCATCAGAATTTCACAGTTTACTGCCAAAGAAGTAATTTTTTTATTTTTTTTTTTAATGCATTAATGTAAAAGCGTTCATTGGGGAGGAACCTGTTTTGGACTTTTCATTAAAAACAGCACTTGTTTTCAGTTTCCCCGGTGTAATTTCATTTGACACAGCTGTGAGACGGGCCGCACTGGTGGGGGTCTCAGCGCCCTGGCTTGGAACGCGGTGCCCCGCACGGGAGGGGTCGAGGAGCAGCGGCCGAGGCGCTTCCGCCGTGCGCGGGGGAGCCCCGCGGGGCCGGGCGCTGAGGGGGCCGGACGCTGAGGGGGCCGCGCCTCCGCGCGTTCCGCCGCTGCCGCGCCCGGCGCTGCCCTGCCCTGCCCTGCCCGCGGAGGCCGCGGTAGCGCCGCGTTGCCCCGGAGACCGGCTCGGCAGGGCTGGGGCTGGCCCGGCCGTGGGCTGCGGCGCCCACCCGGGGTGGGAGCCGAGGCGCTGCGCCGTGGGACGGGGGCGGGGAGCGTCACTGCACCGCAGCGACCGTCCCTCCTCCCGGGCGGGCGGAGAGGCGGCACCCGGGCGCCGCGGCGGGGCTGTTTCGCTCCGCTCCGCGCCCTGCCCTGCCCTCGCGCCCCACCGGTGAGGAGCGAGCCCGCAGCCCAGGGCTCCGGCCGACCCTTCTGGCGCCCGGGGGCGCTCCGGTCCCCGCGTCCTCGCTGCGGACAGCGGTGGCCAGCGACGAGGGCAAACTTGGCTCGAAACTCCCGCCCGCCGAGGCACCAGCGGCCGCAGCGGGCTCTCGGGGCTGCGGGCGCCGCCCCTGCCGCCGGCCCGCCCGGGCGGAGCGGAAAGTTTGCCGGCAGGAGGCTGGGCGGGGGAGGCGGCCGGCGGCGCTGCCGCAGTGTGCGCGCCGAGCCGGGGCTGCCGCCGGCCGCGGGAGCGCCCCGGGGCTCCGCTCCGGCCGCCCTCGCTGCGATGTGAGGCTCGCGGACAGCGTCGGCTGCCGAAGGCTTTAGTTGTTACATGCGCCCAATAATCTTCTCCAAAATGGATTTTAGTCATAGCAGTCTTTTTGGATACATAGAAGACCTGCAGGAACTAACTATTATAGAGAGGCCAGTACGCAGGAGCCTGAAGGTATATACCTCGGAAGAGAACGATGCTTTAAAATCCATTTAAAATTTGGTGTGTTTTAATTACGGAAAATAAGTTAATAGACCGTTTTTCTGGCGGTTTTTTTTTTTTTTTTGGTTATTTGTCTGATTGGTTGTTTGTTTTGTTTTGTTTTTTTATAGCACCAGGATATGAAACATTGTTGTCAGTCATTTTAGAATAAACAATCTCGAATTCTATGTAGCAGGGATTTGATGTTTTCAGCATAAGAATGTGAAGATGGGAACAAATAGACTAGCTTGGGGCTTTAGATTAAATTATATGCCACTTGTTTAATAGTGACAGTGTCTGACTTGAAGCTGTACTTCTCTGACATTCCATCTTTCCTGGTGAAAGATTTATTTGGTTGAATTTGAAATGTTGGCTTGAGGTTTCATGAATAAATTCAAATTACTCATGAAGCAAACCCTGTATGTGTGGGGAGAAATGGGTTGTTTTAAGATTAAAACAGTGAAGTAGTCAGGCATTGTAAACTCATAATCTCTATTTCACACTTGACAGACACCAGAAGAAATAGAAAGATTGACAGTTGATGAAGAACTCAGTGATATTGAAAGGGCTGTTTATCTACTCAGGTATTTCCTAAAATGTTGCTGTGAAATATTGCTGATCATTGTGTTTACATACAGCTTTTTTTAGTGTTTTACTCTTCACTCCTTTAATTTTCTATCTATTAGTAGTTCTTCTACCTTCAACTATGTTAAACATATAGGCAAAATGAAAATAGGTACTGTAATTTACAAAAAATTCACCCTATAATGGGGTGTATGTGTACATGTATAAGGATTTCTGAGCTTTTAATATGTTCCTCACCAGCACAGAGTTGTACTTAATCATCTTTTCCCCTGCAGTTGATTTTGCAAGATTCCCTGAGTGCTAATGTTATTAATACCAATAATTCAGGGAGTTCATACTCACACCAAGCAAATATTCACTCATGGGCAGTTAACAGAGGCTGGTAACAGAGCTGTTCTAACATCCTGTGTGTGTTTGAACTTTCAGATGAGAAAACTTGAGACATTAGTTCTATAGTCCTTAGAAATTACTGTAGAAAATACTGTGTTAATACTTCCCTCTGATCTGGTTTTCATCATCTTACCTCTTTCTTCTTGTTGAAAGTATTTATTTGCAGCTATTTAAATACTTTAAATTTGGTAGTTTAAAGTATGAATCTTTCAACTACTGTGTAAGTCATCTTTGAGAGTACAAATGTTCTGGGGAATTTTGAGTTGAATATGCATTTTTAAACAATACCTGGTAATTGGAGAACCAGCTGCAGCTCCCTCTCAGTTTGCTTATTCTGCTATTTTAAGTGCTTTTCTAGTCTATGCCTGTGCTCAGTATTTAGAATAGATATTCTTGGTGATACAGTTTTCTCTTTGTAGGGTGCATGGCATTATCTGTAAGTTATCATTTTTGTCCATTGATACTGCTTTTGATACTGACTTCTGTTTATGGTTTGGGTATTTTTTTATGCTGAAATTTACTAAATAGAGGATTTTCAAACTTGCTTTGCTCTTAGTTGCTGTAATCAAAGCAGTATGTTGACTGTGGGGAAATTTGGAGGAAACAGTTTGCTTGTGGTACATATCACTGAAAGGATGTGTATCCATTCTGGGTTTTACCTCACAACAACCAGCATAGGTAATTTTTTTTTCTTTTTCAGTGTGGCAGCAAATTTCTTTGCTCTTTTTCCGGTTAAACATCACATTTCCAGCATATATGTCCTAACTAGATCATTGCCTTTTTAAGTGGCAAAAGGTTCCACTTCATGTCTTCCATCTTATCAATTGCTTTTCAACCTGGCCTTGACCTTCCCCTGACTTCTTTATCTGATTTTCTCTACTTGAGCAGCTGTTTGAGACATAACGTTCTTTTTCTTTTAATGAAGCATTCATTTTTCCCTCTGCATTGTTCTCATTGCTGAAAGGTACCTTCAACTCTGCTTGATAGGCTTTTTGTGAGCTAGTCTTACTGTGCATGTATGTTAATACAGTCATCCAGTGGAAGCTGGTGCTGTTGAGTAGCATCTTGCTGTCCTTGTACTGAGTGGAGTAAAAGCAGAGTTGAAAAGCTGCCTGTAACCTAGTAGTACCTTTTATATAATGTACAAGAGTATGTACTTTTGGCTTGTCAGGAATTTTTCATCTATTTAGATACAATATGCCTGCCTGTTGCTGTTTGATAGTAATGTCAGTCCAGTCTTTCCATGCCTCATTTTCTCACACAGATGCATTATTCACTGTCCTTCAGGTTGTTCCTTACATGGGACTAATCTTGATCTTATCCAAAAAGCCACTGCCTTTTCTGAAAATCTGTCTATAGAAATAGCTTTGCTGAGATTGAAACAAACTGTTAATGATACCTCTGTTGTATCCCATTTGGAAAGGATGGTGTTATCTCCATATACATTAAAAATATTTATAGGAAGCAGATCTTGCACCTTAAATATCTACAGGTAACATCAAAGTACTGTTTTTGTCACAATGTCTTTTGTATGGTCATTTACTTATTTCACCCTAATCTGCAAGTTGAAGATTTTCAATTTACTAAGGTGGGTATCTTCAGTGTTTCTTGTACAGTGCAATGGAACTGATTAGTAATGGGTAAAACCTTTGTATGCTACAGTGAAGCTAATGCTTACTAGTGATTTTCTGGGAAAGTTCAGAAAGAGTCTTCACATTTTAAAGGCTTTCATTCTGAACAAAAAAACTCAACCACTTTCTTCTCTTTTCACATCCTTTCCTTCTAAAACCTGTCCACAACTTCTCCTCCCCACTCTTGAACTTGAATTTTCTTATATGCAGAGTTGTTGTATGTTTGTTAGATACTTGTTTTTAGAAGATTTCTGCTCCTGAAGTCTTTACTATAGTAGTCTGAAAATGGCTACATTGAGATCCAAGTTGGAGAGGATAGATTTTCTTTTTTTCCCTACTGACTGATTCTCGCTTACTGTATATGTGAGAAGGTATTAATTTTCCAACTCTCAGACTTTCATCAATTATTCTTCTGTTTTCACTTCTTGTGTTCTTTGCTTCTCAATTGCCAGTAGTACCATAGAGTTTCTGGTGTGGACTTTTACTTGATATTGTAAAGTTTAATTAATTGTAAAGTTTGCTTTGCTCATCTGGTATGTATTTGTAACCATCTAATGATTATTTTGTATTTCTACAGTGTCTTGTCTGTGTCTAGCCATGATGTATGGTCACAGATTTTGTAAATTTCTGTTCATTGTGTTCACATAAGTATGATGTAATTATAGACCTACAAATGTTTTTAGCATGTGGTGAGTACATTGATAGATTGATCTTGTGTGAGATCTCAGTTCCATAGAGACATGATTTCATTGTAATTGTTTTTTGTTGTTGCCTATCACAATTTAGTTTCACATTCTAAAGTGATAATTGTAATTTTGATAATCCTGAAAAGTTAATCTCTCTCATTATTATTTCTAGTGAATGTCTTTGCTTTCAGTCTCCCCTTTTGTGCTAATAGTATTTTTCACATAACTATGTAAGGAGGTAGATTGATAAGAAGATCTAGCTAAAGCTGATAATTTCTAGTCGCATTGATTTTCAGATAAAGCAACTCTTTGATTTGCTACATCATGTGGATATAGAAACAGTTCTGCAAGCAAAAGGAGAGGATGTAGTAGCTCTCCTGGTGCTAGGGTTATTTTAATATGATTTGAGTGGAAGTGAACTTCTGCTTTAAATCACTGATGCTCAGAATACTCAGTTTTAATTAGATAACATTCTGCAATTAGATTGAGCAAGTTCTAATTTAATAAGAATGTGGTAATAAAGTGGACTGTAATTTATTTTAATCTCATTTAACCTTGATTCTGATAGAGGAACTGGGCTTCCTTAGGCCAGACTGTCAGGGATGTTTATGAACTTCTCATTGAAACCAAATGGGTTTAGGGACTTAGGGAGGGAGGGGCATTTGGGTGTCTCAGATCTCTGTATTACAGCTTCAACTTGTGTGTTTGGTGGTTTCTGGAGCCTTTAACAGGAATCACTGAAGAGTTGTATTCTGTCTGTACTTTGCATGATGGTGGCCCAACAGAAGAGCAAAGACAGCAAAACAGCTGTGTGTCTCAACCAAGTCAGCGTCAAGATTGATGGCTTATCATAAAACCATCAGCAGATTAAGAGAAGCTGCTGGACCACACTGAAGCAACTGAATAGTTTGCATTCCACCTCAGGGCATCGTGACCTCTACCAGGACAGTGGCAATAAGCAGCTCAGGGACAATAATTTTTATTCATGCTGTGGATTTTTGCCTGTAATTAGTTTCCATGTTTTCTGATGCTTGATTTGTGTTATTACTTATATTAATTTGTCTTACCGTAGCTCACTCGTTTATGGTATACAGCTCAAAGTAGGTATTCTTTGCCTGATGAGAATCTGGTTCTGGATGCTTACTGGCATGTGCACTGCAGGGTGGTTTGTTTTCTGGGGTTTTTTCTGATAGATTTCCCTAGGGCTTTTACATTGTTCTGTGTACTGTATGATTTTGTATTCAGCTACTTTTTTTTCTCATTTGTGCCTGCTTAGTGTTAAAGCTTTCAGACCTTGACATTTGTGTCTTACTCAAAATAACACAGTAATAATGAGTTATCAAGGTGGAAGACTGAATTATTCACCCTTTTGGGAACAAAACCATTGTTTTTGGGGAGATCCTATCTATCAGTGTAGAAAACACCACAACCCCTTTCTAAAGCATTTAACACAGTTTTTGAAGACACAATAGATACTCTATCTAGACTGGAAAGAATTCAATGTCTCTAAAGTTACAGTGACTTGAAAAGGCCACAGCAACAAGAAAAAGTTGTAC